GATTGGTCCAGGCATTTCTAAGATACAGATACTGCGTCCGAACGGGGACTAATTAATGCAATAATTGATGAATTAATATGCATGGAATTGCACCAAAATCTAATCAGCGCATCTACTCATCATATATTAGCTGTGTGCCAAATTTCATTTGAATTGAAATTGTAGATCTTGAGTTATCAGTGGAACAAATTTTAGTCACAGAGTCACAGACACTGGCACCACATAAGCTTCGTTTCACGGGAGCTAAAAACAAGATATAGATTAGCCAAACAAATGGTTCCTCTGCTTGGTTTGAGTCATGAAGAAAGCCCCCCCCCCTCCTCCCCCCATATTTTCGTCACAATATTATCATAACTTTCAAAGACATGCCCAAACATTTTATTACCACCCCTAGCAACCGCTGTTACTAAACAAATTGTTCACTTACCCAACAAGTGCATCACCAAATGGTACACACAACCAATCACCATGTTCCTCAACCATGTACTGTTTCATATCTTGCGGTGATCTATCCGAGGAAATGAAGACGATTTCAAACGGTGCATTTTTCTCTTTTAGCTCCGAGTAAACATCAGCCAGTATCGGAGTAAACATTTTACATGGTGGACACCAACTTGCAGAAAAGTATAAACCAACCACTTTATTGCGAAGTGCGTCTTCTCCACTGATTGTAGCCTGGGATTTGTTGGATAAGGTCTTACCAACGAACAGATCCATATTTAAATCTAATTTAGCTAAAAAAAATGTATGGTAATTATATTGCAATAAGAGATAATGTGGATGACTTTGAATATCTTTGAATATGTTTAACCTTTTCACCCATCAGTTCCCTCTTTTCATTATAAATTCACATATCAGTCCTGTTTATAGTCTGCACTTTCCTTCAGAAAGCTTGGGAGAAAAATAGCTAAATTTTTTGAGTAAAAACTAAAAATTGAGTCAAATTTTGTCTGTTGGCTCCAAAATTAGGGTTCTTTTCCAGAAATTTTGATGCATATAAGAAAAAAATTGCCGAAAAATTTGGGCGAGAAACTCTGGAGGTGAAAAGGTTAAGGAGGTTAGATTGAATAATAATTGAAATAATAATTAATTTTATGAATTTGTATTAGAAAAATGAAAAATCACTATGATATAATTTCTGATTTTGTTAAAACATTTCAAAAAATTGACGTTTGAGTTAGATATCAGTGTGATGATAGTATTTCAATATACTGTAGAGTACTTAATTTTCGCTTGGAATTTATTTTCGTTATTTTCACTGAAGGGATGATTCCGTGAAAATAAAATCCAGTGAATATACATTTTTCTCTATATTTTACATTAATCTCATCAAAAATTAGTGAAAATAAATTCCAAGCAAATCGCCCAATCATTTAGATAATGTGTTCTATGCTAAATTTTACATATTCACTGGGTTTTAATTTAGCGCATTTTCCAGTCAGCAAAATAAGCAAAATTTAAAACCCAGTGAATAATTAACCCTTTTACAGTACTAGGAATGTGCAATGATATATCTGTATGCGACCAGAACAACTGTTTTTTTTTTATTGTACAATAACTTGTATCTTCAGTTGTTACTATCTTGATTAAATATCAAACATAATTCTGTGAACATTCCAACAGATACTCAAAATTTTGTTAACAATTTGGAATATTGCAAATTAGTCATGAATGTTTCATGTGTTGTTTTTTTCCCCAAGGAAACAGATTGCTGATCAAATTCCCCCAACAACCCAAATACATTTATCAGCGCATGCACCATTACTTGGAAGTATGACATACACATATGTATACTATCATGATCCAAAGTATATTTGTTTCAAAACCAAAAAAAATCTGTATTTTAATAAGAATTTTGACCTGAAGCTACCAAGGTGTAAAATAAACTGACAATGGAACTAACTATGAAATCATCTTTCAATTCCTGCATTTGTTCTATTAGAAACACACGTGTTTGTGCAAGTGACATGGTCAGTACTAGTTCTTTTATATTCTAATGATTAATTATACATTAAATACAATATGTTACTCTAATTCAGTGCATTCATGTACTATAAAAATTTAGTCTGAAAAAATGAAAAATAGTAATGTTAATAATTTCAAATAATTGTGTAATTGCAAAATTTGAAAAATAAACTACAACATTTTCTTTGAAATTGAAATGAATATACAATTAATAATTAGAATAACTATTCTAGTTTAAAATGACTGCCATTAGTTCACGATTTTATTTTTTTCAGACACCACATGCAATGTTTTTTTTCACCTTTTCCAACCCAGTCAGTAGTAGTCAAGAACAAATTTAATATGTGTAACCATGATTCCATTATTGGTTCTGAATTCATAATGGTTATATGAGGGGGGAGGAGCAAGGGGGTAACTGGTACAGTTTTACGGGAATTAAAAAGGGCTTTTTACAATTTACAAGGAAAAAAAGACGTTTTTACAGTTTACAGTGAAAATTGAATGTTTACAGTTTACAGAGGAAATAAAGGTTATTTTACATTTTACGGAAAATTAAAAAAGAAAACCTAGAAAATTCTTGTACGTACTGAAAAAAATGACACATTTTTACAATGTACGAAAAAAATATTTGATTGATTACGTTGTACGTCTAGCCTTTGATTACAAAATTACGGAATTTATTTTTTCAATTTACGTTGTACAAACAAAAAAATATTGCAATTACGTTGAACATAACCCTTGCCCCCCCTCTTATATTATATTGACGAATGATTGACAATAAATAGCTTTTAGGAGGAGAGATAAAGCTAGTTATACTTCTATTGTTGTAACATATGAAAAGAAACTCAAAAAATATCATGATTGTACGCACATGTCAGTGAGACACTATTCTAGGAATCACCTGAAGAATATCTCTAAATCAAGAGATTTATTTTTCTCATTAGTATCCATTATCCCATTTATCACAGGACACGTCTTTATGTTTGATGACATACCGAAAAATTAGTAAGTGTGAACATACGGTGTAGGTCCATGGTGTGAACAAATTAGGTTACAGGGCGATGGCTGTAGAGGTGTGTTCGAATACACATGTCAGACATGTAAACAATGAATTTATCATGCGTCGTGTACGTCGCTATGAGTCCCATATCGAACAGAACGCGACCCGACTAAAGAATTTCCCAATCGGGAGACTTTTTCCCTGTATCAAAAAAAACCAAAAAAAAAAAAAAACCAAGGTGACTTTTTTCTTAACACGTAACCGAAGCTGAAAACGAAAGTAGATTTTGCTGTTGGAATTTTAATCGTGTACAGTCCGCATAAAATCATCCTTGGTTTGTCAGAATCTGTCTTCGTATCGAGGGTTTGTCTCCTGGTCGAGAACTTCATTTGTCCCTTAATTTGAAGATAGTCTGAGTTTTTAGGGAACATACGTGCCATGTTGCATTATGGACGTACGTCCATAGTTGCATGTAGCATGGATGTTCTTAGTACATCCATGCATGTAGATACTAAATCTGAAAGGATCAATCACCGGAAGCCTTACGTCGTTGACAAGAAGTGCGATATCATTTCAGAAATTATGAAGAGTGTAATACCCAGCAATGTCCCTTGAAGAATTCCATGTATCTGAGATACTCACCAAAGCAAGGATTGGGGCTCAAATAACCAGAACGGTGCTCATTAAAGTCACGATTTTCTCTTGGTCTGTTCACTCACGAAAACCAGTATTGATTGAGCCTGTCGTTGGTGGCGTCCTCAACTTCATGACTCATCTATCAAGCCAGCAAGTCAGTTTGCAAGGTAAAATGTCAGTGGTGACGTGTTAAAAAAAACGACACACTTTAAAAGGAAACGTGTAAAACGTGACCACCTGGTTTGAAGAGTTAATGAAATGTCACGTAGTTGTAATGTGTAAGAATGTAACTCTAAGGCTGCATTGCGTATTGGTTATATAAAAGAAATGACCTGTTGATATCAACAATTTGACACTTTTCGAGAGAATGACTAAAACGTTTTAAACAAAACGATCATTAATTGAGCAAAAGTTGACACCAGCGAGGTATGGCTCAGACTTTATTCAGATATTATACACCATCTTAAGAAGTCTGAATGTATGTACTTTATTTATCCGAAGAGTACTCTTAGAAGTAGTGTACTTCCACCCATATACCTTGGTGACTCTAAGCTTGGAATTGTGCATAAGAACGTTTTTATTGTATATGTTGTTATGGTAACTTCACGGATGATGAGGACATACAACGACATTTATTCGACCATTCTACAGCAGAGCCAATATTTTATTTCGAAAATATTCTAGTTGTAGCAGTGAAGTTAAAAATATAGTGTTTTGAACCTTTTGCAATTACATGTATTCTTCACAGCTTTGGTTTCAACATTGTCGCAAACGTCTCAAGTCAGCGAGAAGCGTTTGATGACATTTTATAATAAAGCATTCTCTGTCCGTTGTCTCGTTCAGAACCGTAATTTGGCGTATATGATTCCGTGTTGTGTATAATAAAGTGTTCATTCCCGGGCCGGCCCGGGTCTGTAGTTGTTTGTCATTGGCGGATTTAGATGGGGGCCGAGGGGGCCGCGGCCCCCCTATTTTTAACAACCAACAGGGCAAACTTGGCCTTAGGTCAACTTATCGACCCCCTATTCCAGAATCCTAGATCCGCCCCTGTTTGTATACTGCGCTGCACTATTACTATATTTGACGTATTTATACTAACATACCTTTTTCACTATATACTCTTCTCACTAAATGTGACAATAAGATTATTATAATAAGTATTGCTTTTAACCGAGTTGTGAATGTCAGTGTTTTGGGTTGTGATTAATATTCTTAACAATGACTCAACTCGTTTTAATTTTATAACGCATTTTTTTTTATAATCTACGTCATAGACATCTATTGAGTGTATGCCTACATGTGACTCCTAGCATATATGTGTACGAAAATCCATTAAACTCAGCTGCTTCGGAGGACACATATTTATACATAGGTACGTATGTCGTGTTAAACATTTTGATCTTTATCTATCGAAAACATTTATTATTGTATTATCGAAGTTTTCTTAAATACTGTGTTTGAGGTTTTTTTTTACATATTTGATATACGTACAATTTTTTTCTTTAAACCGAGTCTATAAATAGACATGTTGTTGACATAAGTGCGAACGTCCCTTTATTACGTATTTATATAATGTTAACTTTCGACCAATGAGGGACATTCCCGCCTAGGGTTCAGTATCCTACCGAGCCTATAAATAAGACGTTGTTGTATTTAACGTCTGCTTACATATTACTTTATGGTAAATTCTCCGGTATATCAATGGATGTACTGTATTGACGTAATAAACTACTCTACGTGTTTATTACTTACGTATTCGTTTCTTGTGATCGATTTGTTTGCATAGCCTGGCATTTCTTATTTTGGATATAACCCATTCACGAATCATAACTCCACAAGGTATTCTATATTAATATTCTTGTATATATTGTATATTCATGATTTAAAGTGGATTTACATCGGTTGTATTGAATTTAACACTTCTCGCAATTCTACAACATACTGGTCGTTTTCCAGCGGCACTGGACGACATTATAATTACTCAAATGAATTACTTAAAATTAAAGCGCGGTGGTCGTCGCGCAGCACGTATTCGAATTTCATGTAAACAAACAATGTTGTATTTTACACGCGTTGTATACGTCGCTATGAGTCCCATATCGAACAGGACGCGGCACGACGACTACCGCCCTTTAAATTTTTGTACTACATAATAGATTATAATACCACAGTGTTTTCTCCTTTTTTGACTTACAGGTGAACCTTGTGTGTTTTATATTAAGCTATGTGGTCTTATACCACTAATTGGAACTCCATAGACGACGATGTTATCATACGAGGAGATTGCTATATGTGAATGATAAACAAAGTTGAAAACCTGACTCTTAAAAATGGGAAATCAACATGCCAATAATAAGCCACATGAAAAAACGCACATGTTGGCCAGCTCAAACTCAGGTAAACAAAGCACACCTACTGTTTTTGGATTGCACCTAGAGAGATCACTAGAAAAATACCAAGATTAGAACATCCAAATACAGACAGAATAAACTCACAGGTAACACAGTCGCTATAAAGTAGTAAATAAACGACCACATGTTAGTCTCACCCAGGTGATCACGCCCTCTAACAGGACGCACCTGAGAAAAAAAAATATCAAAGAAATGTCATTGACTCTTGCAAGGCATTTAAATTGAGGGGCTATGAACGGTGATTGGTTGATTAGTGGCACAAGACAATATGATTGGATGAAAATATTGCCACGATTGCCAGACACACAAGCATATAAACTTCAGCAAGATTAAACTACTGGGGGAGGCATGTTTGTTAACCATCTCACTAGGATGGTTTCTGGTAAATTCCTTTTTGAATTTGAATTTAATTCTTCTCCAAAATATATTTGATGCAAGCTTTCTACATTTTTGTATTATCCCACTTGCTCTTACTGACAATTATGATCACTGTAAACGATACATAATAAAATCAACAACAAATTCTGAAATACCCGAGCGCTGCAGCTAGTCTAATCAAATCAAAAACAATTTTCATTGTTACAATCAGGCAAATGATTTCAGGATTTTGTTGGATAATAATAATAAGAGTCCAAAGCCATTATGTTTACAGAGTCGGTGATAGGTTTTTTACAGACCATACTTAGCGGCAATGCGATAAGCTCATAAATTCGAAAATTGTGTTGAAAAATATTTGACGACTTTTTTTGATTTTGTCACAATTAAAAGATATTTAAAGAATGATGTAACTATAGTAATGTTGTTCAGCACGTGAAATGCATTAAATATGAATGTGCAGAGAATTTCAAGGAACTTTGTTGCATGAAAAAGGCATTTTCTAAACAATTTCAAATACATTTGTAGCTACTCAAGTTTTTGTTCACTTAAAAGTTCATGATGAATAATTAGTTAAATGCTTAGTTATAGAGTGTAAACTTGACTATTTATGATGAATGAATTAAATAAATAAATATGTACTTTGTTTAGGGCAAATAAAACATAGGTAGTATAGATCATTGGTGAGTCTGTTATATCTGTTTACAGTGAACAGAAACAGTGTTTGATCTGCCAGTACTTAGATTCTAAATGTGGGAGTAAAAACTTACATCAACTCACAGGCTGATGAACTTGAAATGCCGACTTGATCACGATGTTCCCCTTTGTGTACAAACACATTCCGATGCCAAAGGATGACATATTCCACATTGTGCAATATTGATGAATACCATGGCAACAGTAGTGCCTTTTTGTCCCAAATTTTGTTACCACACTATACAAGAGCTGTAATTTTCACTGCAAACAGACACATGCAAGATTGCACCAAGGATTTTTCGAGTGGAGTGACATGTTCCATACACAATACAGAAAACACTGGGTATTACAGGAAAAAAAGAAATTTATTTGAAATTATTTGTATAGTGAAACTACAGTAATTGCTCTATCAGTAGCACATACGTTTACATAAAATTTGTCAAAACAAATATTTTTTTTGATTCAGTTATACAAAAAATGTAATTTATGGTTTTTCTCACATACATAATGTATGAATCTTCACAGTGTGACATACTGAAAATACTGAGTTTATATACGATCTGATAGCGGCAATAACCACAGATTGTATTAAAATGATTTATTTCGGATGGCAATTGTGTTTATTTCCAGAATTATTAATCACTCCTCCAAAACAATTGTTCGACATTTTAAAATAAATCACCGAAAATTGGAGCAAGAATTTTGCATAAAAAAGAACACCATGGCATCAACAAATTTGGCATACTAGATATGCACAATATTTTGTATTCAGTGTTATTTCAGCAATACTCCCACTTTCAACAGAAATATGCATGTCATAATTTTATAATCCCACAATATTTTTTTTAGGGAGATGTCTGATTACCGCCAGAGTACCTACCATCAATTCTCACCTATGACTTAATAGATTGAGAAAAACTCTGACCACAATCTGCTGACGTCAACCTAAGAGAACATATCTTGAAATTATATATATTAAATATTTAATTGATGTGCTTCTAATAGAACAAATATGGTATAGCATTCATTTTGTTTAATGCAATGAGATTCAGGGTCAACTTGTCTACTGTAAATAATAGACAAAAAATTCAGCAAATATTGTTTTTCATCTGTTTCCTATCCCAACAAATATCTATTGCGCTTGCACATGCCCATTGAATGTAGCATTGAGATTCACCTTTGACCTCTCTGAAATCAGCACACCAGTGCTCCAAGAACTGTACAATACAATATAAATGAATTTCTATATTTGGAGCCGAGTACTTTGTCGTAATTAATATTAACTAACATAATAGTTGTATGATCAGGTGACCAAATCACATGATTGTCACATGATCAACTTGCAGCTGAGTGGTTGGTGTATTATGCAGAAAAATTTTTTTTCTTTATTTGAGTTCAAGGCTGCCCACCATAATCATAATTGAGAATTATATGAAAAGCAAGCAAGGATCAAAAACTATAGATTGGTCATTACAATGTGTTGCCATGGCTTCAGGAAGATTTAGGGGAAGGAACACATGGCCATATATTGTAGTTTTCATCCAGGAAAAAAAAAAATGTCAAGTTACATGGTCAAAAAGAATTAGAAACCCATTTTGTAGAACCATACTGAGTGGAATAGGATTCATTTCTTATTTATTTTATATTTACAGAATTTGTAAATATCATATTTTAGAAAATGTAAGTTCTTTCTTGTTATATTTACTTCTTTCCAGAATCTGAAACCAATAAAAAAAAAGTTATTCAACAATGTGAGACAATTTCCAAAAGTATACATGAAGCTTTGAAAATGGAAGAGTAAGCAACGCACACAGACCCTCTGATTAACTCAATTTGCTATTCTGTTCTTTTAGTGGTCTGAGACCCTGCTACTAGTAAAGAATGCTTTCTTACCATCTTGTGGGGGTGCTGGTGGTGGTTGTTGTGATTCACCTCCTCCCTGTGTTGACAACTGATGCCTTAGTTGGTCTACCAAATCTGGATTTGTAGTCTGTACTTGCTGTGCCAACTGCTGACCACTGAATAATATAACCATTATTTCACATCAATACCAGCATATAGAAATGATTGGCAGCTAAACAAATGTTTTGAGCGATTACTGCTGATTGGCTGGCAGCTATTGAACTATGTGAAGAACCGGCTCTGATTGGTTGGCAGCTATTGAACTATGTGAAGAACCGGCTCTGATTGGTTGGCAACTAACAAACAATGTGAAGAACTGGCTCTGATTGGTTGGCAACTAACAGACAATGTGAAAAACCGGCTCTGATTGGTTGGCAACTAACAGACAATGTGAAGAACCAGCTCTGATTGGTTGGCAACTAACAAACAATGTGAAAAACCGGCTCTGATTGGTTGGCAACTAACAAACAATGTGAAGAACCAGCTCTGATTGGTTGGCAGCTAACAAACTATGTGAAGAACCGGCTCTGATTGGTTGGCAGCAAAAAAAAATGTGAAGAGCTGATTGGCAGCTAACAGACAATCATGTGAATGATTGGATCCAATTGATTCAAAAGGTCAAGCAAATTATTAGTACAAATAAAGATTATTTTTGAAGGGTACTTACGCTTGTAGAAGCGTAGCCATGCTGGCAGATGGATCTGTGTTAGTTTCACCACTACTAGTATTAGCTGTAGCAGCACCTCCTCCTTGCATTGCACTACCCAGCATTCCATGCATCCTGCAATTACAATTAGTGACAACATCAACAAAGGCTGGGGATACAAGAGTATGGAAAGACAGTGGTTGTCATGGCAACACACAATCAAATTGAGAGTCCATAAATAATACATTTAACTCGCACCAATTGTTGCTATCACTGACCAGTTGCCGACTGCTGCATTTCAATTTTTAACATTAAAATGGCCGTCAATTTGCCATCTTGAACTAGAACACCAAACGAAAAGATGTGCATATGTGCGACAGAATGTATTATGTATATATAACAATTAAACATGATTGGTTAGGGCATGTCGTAGATACAGCTCTGGAATCGCATTTGTTAAAACAAAATGGTTGCTAGTTTGCCATTTTGAATTCAATTTAAAAAACAATATGATGTACATCAAAGTTCCATAATGTCAGATGTTTGTACAAAATTTTTCCATATAAAACCTAGATAAACATAATATTGAGTTTGAAAATTGCAAATTAAATTTTTTTACTATTAGAAGTACTTTTCTAATAAAAGTGCACACAAACTAAAACTGCATTTAAACAAAGTACTGTAATATACACTCTCAATCAACCATTCCACTAACTTGGTTGAAAGATTTTAAGGCAAGTAAAGAAGCATTGTACACAAAGAAATGACAGTGACCAATTCCACAACAATGTTATGTTAGCAAAACATGTCATCCATACTATGTTGCACTTGTCTCGAGATGTCACATATAGTCCAAATATGAGACCTGCTTTGACAACTTATCTGTACTTCAAATTTCAAAAATTTGTATTCTACATTTCCACACACAGAGAAAATCTACTTATAAAGTCAATGATTATTTTTCTATTTTTTTTTTTTTGTGATTTTTTTTTTTTAAGATTTTTTATTGGGTACTTAGTATTCTAAATTACATCTGTATAGTTGTCTTACAATAAAGTTATCTGAAAAATAACAGTATAGGGCTGCACTTCTTAAGGTGCAATATCATCTTACTTGTCTTGCCTTGTTTTGCAATGTAATTTTCACATTCATAAATTTGTTTTCTATTTTTGATATATTGTGCCAAAGATTTATTTTTCCCATTGTGCAATTGATTTATTTTTCCCATTTTAAATGAATGGGTAAAAAATGCGTCCACAGGCAATGTTATATTTCTGACTTGATGGTTAGGTACTTACAGCCTTTGCATTTCTGGGTTCTGCATCATTGTGGAAGCCTGTATAACAAAATAAAAACAGTGAATAACTGATGTAATCATGTACTGTGAAAATACTTTTATTATTCGCTTGGAATTTATTTTGCCATTTTCGCTGCAGGGATGATTCAGGTAAAAAAGAAATCAGTGAATATATTATTTTTCCTACAATATCTTTTCAGCAAAAATTAATTTAAATAAATTTTAATTTTGCTGATAAGTAAAACTCGTTAAAATAACAATAGAACACATAACTTCCATGAAATTAAAGTGACAATAGCTATCAACCTTTTTTTCTCTGATTTTTTTTTTTAAAAACATTTCTTGTGTTAGGTACTATTGCCAAGTGGTCAATGGTTATCAACATAAATTTGTACATGCACAGCAACAGTCCTTTAAACAATGACAATATATCCTTACCATATTCATGAGGGCTGGATTGCCAAGTAATGCACCCATATCAGGCATCCCACCAGGCCCCATACCTCCAAAACCACCAAAACCTGGAATGCCTCCACCACCACCCTACAACACACAAGATTTGGTTAATAAACTCAAATAAAGTCATCATGACCACATCAAAGAATTTATGACAGAGACAAGATCACTAGAAAAGATCCCACCCAAAACATGGGGGTCCAGGATTAATAGAGGATAAGTAATGAGTGAAGCATGATATCCAATTTATTAAACATATTAGTAATTTTCATAACTAAGTTCCAAGCTTTTGGCAAGGAACATATGATCATATGCTGTAAAGGGAGTAATTATTCACTGGGTTTTAATTTTGCTTATTTCGCTGACTGGAAAAGGCGCTAAATTAAAACCCAGTGAATATGTAAAATTTAGCATAGAACACATTATCTAAATGATAAAACCGTGAATTTAAAACCCACTGAATACGCCTGAAATGGTAAATTAGCAAAATTTAAACCCAGTGAAAATTGGTCATTTTACAGTAGAAAGTAAAATCATTTTCTCCATTTGTTGCCAAGATTGGGATAATTAGAAATGGCGATATCTACAAATTGAAAAGTAAAGCATAAAAAGACATTTGACAGCTGTTTTAAATTATCAGTATATTGCAGAAACATTCAAATTGACAATATTTCAAAAGTTATTATCCATATATATTTTGTAGTCGGCAAAAAAGTTATGTCTTGGCCTCTTGGGAGACTGAAGGTCGGCGACCTCAAGGTGACCAATCAAATTGCAGTGTTTGTAATATTGAGGGTGTGATATTGAAAATACCACATGTCTTTATCACATAGTTTTTGCATGATACACGTGATAATTTTATCACAGGCTGATTGATCGATGTTTCCAATTTTCACATAGAAAATTGAATTTTCTTAAAGTAGAGTTAATAGTACATCGTAACCAACCTATTACAACAGCCACCCTTATATGATCAGCCACTTTGTAAACGTCAGAAGGCAGATGAGTGACGCTTATCGTAAGTGTGGCTATGAGTTATGCACTACGAATAATGACTTATACCACAAAATTACAACGAAAATGCAAAATAAATACATATTGCTGTCAGTGGAAGGTATATTTGCATAAACACAAAAGATCCATGTAATGTTTTTCATATCATGTGACCATGAAGTTATTTGTTTATTAACGTCTACATTTCGATTCAAACCAAATTGCTCACAGGGTAGAGGGGAGGGGTCATAGGTACTGATACCTAATATAAAAGCGATGGTTCAAACCCAGCTTGGCAAAATTTTTCTCAATAGTTGAGAAAGAATTCTTATTCACCTCTGAAATTCCAAACCTTGAAAGAAATAAAACATGTCCAGGGCAATGGGTTGCATGAAAATTTAACAAACCATACCACAACCAACACTGCTATACAATACGTGTGTGATCTGATCTTGCCTAACATGTATTTACCTAAAAAAGGGAGTGAACAGCCTTTAACACAAAGATTGAGGCAAGTAATGTAGAAGACATCGATAACTTACCCCTAAATTGATTTCTCTTAGTTTTTGCTCGGCAATTTTCAAATTTGTTATGTAACTAGCATTGTCTGGATCTAATTCAATTGCTTTTTTATAAGCATCTCTCGCTTTTTCATGTTCATTGATACTTGTAAATGCTAAACTGTGAAAATATAAAAAGAAAAATTACATTTGCTAAGTCACTGTTCACCATGTGCCTTACTGATAACAAATACATGTACTAAGGCAAATTACAAATTCATTCATTCATTCATTCATTCACTCAATCTGAAATCTAGTGGACAGCTTACAAAATTCAACACAATT